GGAGGTGGGGGATAACCGCTGCCATAGTTCGACATTGTAAATGAGTTTTACCGAATGCAGAATAGCACGCGTGAACAAATTTTAATAAATGATAACTGATATTAACGAAACACGCTTGAGCCTTAAGAGTCTTTACTTTTATCTCGCACACGGGCTTAATTATTCACAACCCACTTAACATTAAATCATTTTTTTTTAGGGGCTGTGGTATTGGGGATAAGTTAAAAAAAAAACGAAGTTATTTTATTAATTTTTTGAGAAACATGTTTCACAAGAAAATTTGAATGGAAAGTGGCGTTAAATAAGCTAAGCTTTACTAAAGTGAGGTTTTTACTTGATGAATGGTGATTTGATGCTTAAAACATGATTAATTGAACGCCACTTCAAATACCCTTCAAAGTAATTAATATTGTTCTTTTTATATAAATCATTATTCATACACTATAGATAGTAAAGTTGATTCAAAATTTGCGATTTACCAAAAATATTAACTATAAAAATAGGTATTCTTACTAGCCACCTCATACAAAAATTCTAATTTCATTTACACGTTTCACGCGCACATGTCTTGGTAAATCTAGTTCATCTGGTTCATAGATAAATGTCCAGGAAATGCGAAACCATTTCGTCTGGTAGTATTTTTCTTGGGATTGCGCCTCAGGGTTCGTTCGATTTGGGATATTCTTCAATCTGCTCGCTCCCGACTTTAATTTGCCACATGCATGCATTGCCTCACGGAAAATTTGAATTTGACAAGTTAGATCGAGCTGATCGAGATTGCGGCTTTCCGGAACCATTTACGGCAAGGATGAGCAGATCGAATTAACAAGTATGGTTGTAATAAACAAGAATTCAAAACGATTTTTTTTGCAGTATTTCTTGATTGATTGATTTCTTTCATAGCCTTAAACAAAAAAAAATTTTTTCTTGATTATGTGAATTTGTTTAGTTGATTCTGTTTACAAAAAATTATATCATAAACACTTATGTGTAATTAAGTTTTGACTGTATCACCGAGTAGATCGCCCAATGTATATTGTATATATTGTATGATTTGAAAAAGTTGGCTTAGCTTTTTCATTTGCTATATGAAAACCCAAATTTATATACAATATATTATGGTTGGTATATAATACAACCGAAAAAACGATTGTATTTATTAATAGTTTTTGCTTTGAAATATTTTATATATAAACTTTTTGGATTTCAAAATACTTTAAAAAATATTATTTAAATTTATATAATAAAATATTTTGGTATTTTTTAAAAAAAAATTTTTTTTATATTTACAGTAAATAAAATTAAAGTTTTTTATTTAATTGCAATAGATATTAAAAGAATTATTTGTATTGAAAGGTTTTTCAAAAAGTTTTAATTAAAATATACAATTTATAATTAAATTTTTAAAAATTTTTATATTTAATAAAATCAAATAAATACCTTTAAATAAATATATTTTTTATTAAATTATATTAAATTTAATAAAGTTATTTATATATAAATATTTTTTAAAAAATTAAATCAACAAATTTTAATAATAATAATTAATTAATATATTATATACACAGTATGGATCAAAAATAATTGGAAAAAATCAAAACTCATATTTTATTCATAATTTAATAAATAATTAAATAATTA